AAGATTCCACAGAGTGGCTGACATTGGAAGTATACGACCCCTGTTATAGGTTTTACATAGTAATGTAGTGAGTATTGTTATTTTTTGTTTGTTTTGTTTTGTTTGCTTACCCATTCACTGATCCTGAGTTTTTGCCCTTGCCATGCCAGGATGGTTGGAGTGGGTCATTCTCATTCTCTTGGTCTTGTCCGAGATCGATTCCGACCCAGATTCCAGGTTTTGATTCGATAGTTCCGATGAATCGACAGATGCCTACCATTGAGTTTGAGCATTTTACTCGATCGCCTACGCCGAAGGATGATGATGAGGATGGTTGGTTTGATGTTGTTCTTTGGGGTGTTGTTGTTGTTGTTGTTGTTGCTATTGTCTTGAGTTTGCTGTTTTTCATTTGAGAGTCTGAAGTCTGAGTCTGAGTCTTGAGTCTGAGTAGTTGAGATTGGTGGTTGATGGTTCTTGGTTGAATGATTAGGGTGGTTGAACAGCGCACATAAGCCAGAAAAAGCCTTTAAAGCCAGGGATACATACAGACAACTGCTTGCTTATGTAATCAATACAGTATTATGACGACAAGCTTGGCTTACATAAACCCCAACCGATTTTTTCAGATTTGCAATTTCAGCAGAAAAAGAAGAAGATTTTTCACTCCTGAAAGAATTTGTAAGCCAAAACAAAAACAAAAAAAAACAAGAAGAAGAAGAAGAATGGTCAGCCAACTCATCCAATCCAACCAGTCCATGCTCACCATCCTCGCCATCCTACTAGCAGCACTACTGACCATCAGATTCATTCGTTCATCAACAACAAGTTAAGCACAACATACTAACTACACTAAAAACAACCAAACATACTAATCCACCTTCATCAACAGAACCTAAACCAGCCCTAGTCTCAAACCAATTCCAACACTTCAAACTTCATTCCAAGAACGAAGTCTCGCCGAACACTGCAATCTATCGATTCGCATTGGCCAGCCAGGATGACTACCTAGGACTACCCATCGGACAACACATCGTCATCCAGGCCGAGATCGGCGGCAAACAGATTCAGAGGATGTATACCCCAGTCTCAAGCGACGACGATCGAGGATACTTCGAACTGATGATCAAGGTAAACTCAGCCCGTTCATCATCCCACTAAAGCTAAAGATTGACTCACTCCATCTCAAAAAAAAGACTTACGAACAGGGTAACATCTCAAAATATATATCAAAACTCAGGATCGGCGATCCGATCCAGGTCAAAGGACCCAGGGGACAGATGAGATACCATCCTGAACTATGCTCTCAGATCGGCATGATCGCCGGTGGGACGGGAATCACACCCATGCTGGTAAAAAAAATCGATCAGACTCATACCAACAAAGATCGATTAGTCAAATTAACTCCTCCCTGCTTCCTCCTCATAGCAAATCATCAGGGCTTCCGTCAAGGACTCGAACGATAAGACCAAGATCTCACTGATCTATGCCAACGTCAACCCAGAAGATATCCTCCTCAAACAAGAACTAGATCGGATCCAGAACGATCATCCGAAGCGATTCTCAGTATGAGTTCTTTCATTTTTTCTTTTCAAACATCAACCGATTTAATTCATCGGGAGACTCTTCTAACCCTGCGTTCCATTTCAGGTCTACTACGTCCTCAATAACCCTCCCGAAGGTTGGACCGGCGGGGCAGGCTTTGTGACGAAGGAGATGATCGAGAGCAAACTGCCGCCATCCAAGCTGACCAAGCAGGTCAAGATCCTCCTCTGTGGTCCTCCCCCGATGATGTCGATCATGAAGAAGTATCTGGAGGAACTCGAGTTTGAGAAGTGTAGAGTGATCAGTAAATTGGACGATCAAGTGTTTTGTACGTCTATCTCCTTCTCTTTCTTATCCATCCTTGGAGTTCTTCGTGCTCATTCTCCTCGACCATTTTCACCCTTTTCTAGGCTTTTGAACACCCCATCAGAATTTAAAAAAAAATCTATCCATCCTTTTTTTTTCTTGTTAAAGAGTTCTAGAACAATCGTTGCGTTTCCTTCTTAAAAAATCAATCTCCCCCCAACTTTTCTTTTTCTTTAAAAACAAATAACGTGATCCATTGTGTAGATAAAAAAAAATACACAGAGTGAAAATTAGAAGTCCAAATATGACAAAAAAGAAAAGAAATGTATACCATGATTAATCTGGTTGATCTAGTACAAATCCACTGGATATACCATAATCATATGAGCAGAACTCAGATGATCCTGGGACATGTGATGGATGATTTGATGGGAAGAGATGGATGCAAAAAAGGTGAACATTCAGATACCTGTTTCATCAACAGGATGAGCCAAGTCTTCTTCAGTAACCTGACATGAATTTGAGCTCAAAGATGCCCTGATAAATCTTACTAAACTTTTTGGGATACATCTATTGCTGTCTCTCTCCACTGATATTATTTGTGTTATTTACATTCTGTGCTGGTATATTATATCTCGAAACTATAAGTCCAAACAAGCTGATCTGGTTGGTTATGATCAGAGGCTTCTTCATCCTTCCTGCAAACATCTATCTATTCTGTTGGACTACTTGGGTCTCTTTTTTTTCTTTGAAGGGGAGGGAGGGGGGGTTAATCAGTTCAAGCTCCTTGATGGTGAAAGCCTCGTCATCTTCATTTCTGCCTCCTGATTTGTATCTATTACATAACTTTTGTACTACAAAAGACTCGACGGTTCTATGTCAATAATGATGGTTGTGTTTCTGCTCAAGTTTGTTCAAGTCCCATATAAGGTTTCAGTGAGAGTGTATCAGTATCATTTCCAGCTCATGATTTTTTTTTTTCTTGATTTTCGTCTTGTAATGTGATAGATGTTCTACAAGATCTCAAGCCCAGGGGGGGCTGAGGCTGAAATAGACAGGCCTTTGATTCGATGGGAAAGGCAGCGCGCGGCGGCTCTTGGTATGTAAGCGCACCACGCCAGCCCTGCGATTGGGCTGTAGTCTTTCAACTCCAAACCACTACCATCATACATCGAAACTTTCTTGGGATCTTTTGCTTCGATCGACGCGCTAGAAAACATCTGATCGAACCCATTAATTCAACTCTCACCATGGCCTCCGTGCAAACCCCTAACAAAGCCACTCTCTCCGCTTCAAAAGTCACTGAACTTAAGGTACGTCCCAATTGATAACTTGAATACAGGGGACACTGGCCTTCCAACTGATCCGATGATGTTTCTGGTCCCTTGTGAAATCTAGGCGCTCTGTTCCCAAAATAGCTTGCCAGTCTCAGGTAACAAGGGGGAACTGATCAATCGACTATTGCTCCATTTCGAGTCCGTCCAGAACTCCTCAACCCCTCAAGCTACACCAAGCAAGGATTTAACACTGTCATCCAACCCAGCCGCCGCTCCCACCCATTCAGAAGCCCCAGCTCCATCCAAGCCTGCGCCCGCCACCAAACCTGCTGGACCCACAACGATCGCAAAGCCAGTGGAGCCGGCCCAAACTGTCACACCCACTACCAACAACGCGCCGGCGCAGAATCCTGATCAGACTCACGAGAGCTCGACTGCAGACCTCTCAAAGGAGGAGACGATCATCGACTCTGAACTTGAGAAACGAAAACTACGCGCCCAAAGGTTCGGATTAGAGGAGCCCAATTCGACGACGACCACAACCACAATAACCAACACGCCGACGGCCCCGGATGATCTCAAGAAATCGATCCGCGCCAAACGCTTCGGGATCACCGCTCATCAACACAACGTCGCCCTGGACCAGCCCCTTGCCGATGGCAAGGAGGCCGCTAAGATCGTCGTCAAAACTCCTGCCGAGCTCGAATGGGAAGCTCGCAAACGTAAACGCGCAGAGAAATTCGGCCTCGTCGATAACCCTACTCCCTCCTCTCTTAACGATGCTCGCTTGCATCGGAAAAATCAAAAGTTTAACAATCATCGCTCCAGGTATTGATCCTTTTATTTATATATATATATATATATATCTGAATATGTATGTACGTAATATTAGATGTCGTACATACCGACCTGCGTGTTTTTCTTTTCTTTTCTTTTGTTTGGTTTATTTATTTCTTCTTCTTCTGCTTGAGAGAAAAGAATGAGAGATGATGATCGAGGTTTTCTTAATAGAAACTGTGATAAATTAAACTTGCCACAAAAAAAAATCAAATCAAAAATGAATTAGATTCAGTTTTACTGGAGTTGTCTTGTACCTATTTCCAATTTCCCTTAATATTACAAGCTTCTCACCAAAAAAAAGAAAAGAAAATTCCGACGACACTGATCTTGTTCTATTTTATCAATGTGAATTCCTTCCTTTACATATACATCAATCTACATTTTTCTTTGTTGGGTGTTGATCTTGTGATGGCAAGTCCCTTTGAATTTTGTTAGTATTTGCTAAGGTTTTTTGTATAATCCTATCAAAAACAAAATATAAATTGATCCCCGTAGTCCCGATGACATGGTTTTTATTACTACGAAGTACGTCCATGTTGAGCAAACCAAGGTGCCTCAGCCAAAAGTGATACCTTTTACATGAGGGTGCTTTTTTAAAAATTTTCAGGGGGCACATTTTGATACACCCCACATTAGGATCATTCTAAAGGTGCACATAGTCTTTTTTTACAAATTTTCAAAAATATTTGAATTATGAAAAAAAAAAACTCAGATTCATTTTGCTACCTGCTGAAAGGCTTTAATGTCTCTTGAATATGTACACAGGAAAAAAAAGGTTCCTTGCACAGGGGGAACATCAAATTTTGCAAGGTGGGGCGGGCAAAAGAGATCACTTGAAACATAACTTCATATATGGAGGCACTGACATGCCAAACGAGCCAAAAAAATTAAAAAACACATTTTGATGCCTCTGAAGTGCCAAACGAGCCAAGGAAAAATCAAAATCACATTTTCACAACCAATCTTTTGAAATACATACCTCTGACATGTGCATACTGGCCAGGCTGTATTCAATTGCATAGGGATGCCAAACATGGTACCAAGACAAAACAGCCATTACATATAACGCAGAGGGTAGTCCTAGCAGTCAAACCGAATGGGATGACGGCCCGGATGGCAAATGTATCCTCCAAATACCAAGGGATACTTGAGGGGCACTGGAAGAATGCTGAGGTGAAGGACTACATAGTGCTTGAGACAAACATCTTTTTTGGCTCCAAGGGTACCGGGCCGCGATTGCCGATGTTGGGACCGGTAAGATCTCTCTGGGACTCAGCAAGATCGAGAAGGCCAACAAGCCTTGCAACATCATCGGCTCTGGCGCTAGCTTTGAAGGAACACATCAGACGAGGTTCTTAGCTCTCAGGCTGCTGCCGTCGGGGCCACGGTATCGACCTTCAATTACCTGGTTTCTGCTATACATACTGTGTAGGGAAGCACAAGCACAATATGGATGCCCGTCAAAGGGGGCTGCAGGGAAGTGCATCATTATCCAGGGATGTTTCAGTGCTTGTTTGGGTAGTTTGGTCGGTTGATTTGTTCAAAAAATGGGTTTTCATTTATTGATTTTTTTGGCACATTTGGCACACCAGTGCCTCCATATTCATATCCTGCACTGGATGTGCAGTAAAATAAACCTGGATATGTAGTATTTTTATATTTTTTTTGTTCACCTCTTCACACCATTTTTTTTTTAAAAAAAAAAACACTGAATATCCAGTTTTTTTTAGGGCCTTAATAAAAAAACGCGGTTTTTCCGCGTTTTGACGCGGTTTTAATGCGCCGCAGCACACGTGGTTTCCGCTTTTAGACGCGGTTTTTTAATTAATTTTTTACGGCTTATTTTTCGAGTTTTTTCGAAATTTTAAAATTTATTCCTACACTATGAAAGGTGTAGAATTTAATAGTAAAGTCCATTTTCCATAAAAATCAATTTTGATTATTAATTTTTTTTTTCCACTTATTTTTCAATTAATTGTTTGCATGCATGTATGTACCTTATTTTTTATGTTTTTTTAAAATTTTAAATTTATTTCCTAGGTTTTAATATGCGGAGAATTTAAAGAATTTTTTTAAAACTCAACGGTTCACTTTTAATACTCAAATTACACCCATTTTTTCACTTAATTTTTTACAGCTTAATTCTCATCATTTTTTGACATTTTAAATTTATTTCCCACACTTTAAGACATGTAGAAAATGATGGTAAAAACCATTTTTCCCCAAAATGAAAACTATACCTTGAATGCCGCATTTGACACGTTTTTTTTAATTAATTCATCACTTTTTCACTTAATTGTTTGCATACATGTGTGTACCTTATTTTCTATGCTTTTTTGAAATTTTAAAGTTTTTTCATACATTTAAAAGTGTGTAGAATTTAATGGTAACATCCAATTTTCTTAAAACTCAACAGTTCATTTTTAATACTGAAACTAGACACTTTTTTCAATTAATTCTTTACATGTTATTTCTCACTATTTTTTGACATTTTAAGTTTATTTCCCACACTTTAATACATGATAAAAATGATGGTAACAACCATTTTACATAAAAATCAGCGCTTGTTACTGAATACTGCAGTGGACAGGCTTTTTTTAATGTTTTTTTGATTGATTTTTACCGGCCTGTTTTTAAGCATTTTATTTTATTTTAAATTTATTTCCTACATTTACAAATGTTTAGAATTGAATGGTGAAGTCCAATTTCACTCAAAATACAAGCTTCAATCTTAATAGATGAGTGTACCCTGTTTCTTGCATAATTTGTACCATATACAAATTTTATTTGAATGCAAAATGGATACAGCCATCAATTCTGAAACCTTTAAAAGTGTAGGAAATGAGCTTGAAATTCCAAAAAATAAGGATAATTTAGCGTGTAAGAATTAATTCAGGAGACACGTCAAAGGCATTATTCAAGATATAGTTTTCATTTTGATGAAAATTCATTGTTGCCATAATTTTATACATGTTTGAAAGTGTAGGAAACAAATTTGAAATGTCAAAAAATAATGAAAATTAAGCTCTTAAAAATCAATTGAAAAATATGACTAATTACAGTATCCAGAATGAACCGTTGAGTTTTATGGGAATTGAATGTTACCATTAAATTTTACACACTTTTAAATGTATGAAAAAACTTTAAAATTTCAAAAAAGCATAGAAAATAAGGTACACACATGTATGCAAACAATCAAGTGAAAAAGTGAAGAATTCAATTAAAAAAACATGTCAAATGCGGCATTCAAGGTATAGTTTTCATTTTGGGGAAAAATGGTTGTTACCATCATTTTCTACATGTCTTAAAGTGTGGGAAATAAATTTAAAATGTCAAAAAATGATGAGAATTAAGCTGTAAAAAATTAAGTGAAAAAATGGGTCTAATTTCAGTATTAAAAATGAACCGTTGAGTTTTAAAAAAATTGGATTGCACCATTAAATTCTACACACATTGAAACCTAGGAAATAATTTTAAAATTTCACAAAAGCATAAAAAATAAGGTACATACATGTATGCAAACAATTAATTGAGAAATGAGTGAAAAAAAATAATTAATAATCAAAATTCATTTTTATGAAAAATGGTTTTTACCATTAAATTTTAAGCCTTTTATAGTGTAGGAAACAACTTTAAAAATTCAAAAAAACTCAAAAAATAACCCATAAAAAATTAATTAAAAAACCGTTGTAAGACTCAAAAAGTGGTTGTAAGACCCTTTTTGCTGAATTGAGAAGGGGATGATGGAGTGAAAGCTCTGCCCTTCTATACTATCAGATAACAAGACCCACCAAGCTTAGCTTGGCAAGTTTTAATCAAGTGATAGGGTAAAGTTCAGGAATGAGTTGTGTGATGAAGAGTGTTGATTTGGTGTTTGGTTGGCGCTTTAAAGTGTTTGTGTGAAGGTGGTCAAATATTGCTTGAGTGTTACTTGACTGAGGATTAAACAACTGGGAGGAGAGCCTCCTTATATATACAACAGTGAGGGAATTTAGCTCCAGGGCAGCCAGTAATGAGTGATTTTGGCTGGCCTGGGCTATTACATGAGGTATTTTTAGCTACATACAAAATTTGAATGAGTGAATGTGATTGGTCAGACATGTACAAGAGTTGAAGTGGTGATCCAAGCAGCTGAACGAGTGATTCTGATTGGTCAGGTTCTGATGTGTTTACAAGTGAGTGTGGTGGTGTAAGCTGCAGCTGTCATGCATGGAAAATACACTAATTTAGGCTGCAGGTATGATGTAATATGTAGAAGTGAAATGTAAAGAGTGTAGATGTATGTAAATGAGTGTGTATGTAAATGAGTGTGTACTGTACTGATGGTGTCTGTGTAGCTTGAGGGTTGTAATTGGGTTTGGTGATATTTACTGATGGGTGAAATCCTTGTGATATGTTGTCCAGTGTTGGGTAAGAGTTGATCCAGGTGTGTTCCAGTGACGCCTCCTTGGTGACCAAGGGTGAATTTATCCGTAGAGTCCAGTTCTTGAGCCGTATGGTGTGAATTCTGAGAGTGATTGGGTGGTAATATGAAGAAATATATATATAAGAAAAGAAAAAAAGAAAAAACTTTGAATTTTCACATTTTTGACTACCACAGCCTCCCCCAACTTATTGTCTGTCCCCAGACAATTTACCAGGAAAAAATGGGAAGAAAATAGAGAAAGAGTTAATTTTTAAACATGAAATGAAGTGAAAAGGGTAGTGGGTATTTGGAGGAAAAAGCTGGAAAAAATGAGTGTGGCTGGAAAAAGAGTGTGATAGCCTCCCCCAACTTTGCAGTGGAGCCAAGCTGGGGTAGCCGTATTTGTGATTTTTAAACTTAAACTTAATTTTTACAGCTGCTTTAACAGGGTTTCCCCTGTAGATGTCAGCTTCAGGGTCCCTGTGTACCCCCCTTCTGCCCAAAGTGCACAGGTGGGGGGGCATTTTTATTTATTTTTATTTTATTTTATTTTTATTTTTTTTTCTACATACAAATTTTGATTTTGCTGCGCAGCATTGGACGTCTTGATGACCGCGCCGTCGTCGTAGAGTCGCTGGGTAGCCTGGTTTACCTGCAAAGCCC